GTCAAGAAAAAAAATCCCCTGAAAATTTTCTTCTATGTCTCCCGAGAGTAGGATGCCCTTTCGCCACAAATATGGCCCCATCTTTTGACTACCATGCGAGAGAGGAGCCCTTTTGTTACTACTAGCATAATGAGTAATTGACCTCGTTGACTCGTCCATCGCCCAAAAGGAGCTTAGTTCCTGCGTCTTTAGCGATTTCGGCGCTATCGCAATATGTGGGGGCATTTACGTGGGAGTGCGTTAAAACCCGCGTAGACGACGTAATTTAGTAAAAACGAGACTGAGCTTTAGGCTGGGGAGGGGAGAGACTCCAGACCGCGTGGGCATTTCTCGTTCTCTCCGAACTTCCTGCATACCCCTCGTTCTCTCCGAACTTCCTGCATACTCCTCCCACTGGGCTTTTCTGAAAATGACCCCGTATCTTCCGATAGCGGTTTCTTCTACATTCATTCGTCTCCAGTGGTCCGATTTCCACCCCAGCTTGTATTTTCGCGTGCTGCGACCACATCAAGGTGAACGTGGAATGTGTCTTTAAGTGAGGCAAAAGACTCAAAAGTCTCGAGATTCATTTTTCTTCAGCTCTTCCTTACACCGTATACTTGACAGCGAATTGGAATCCGACGCATCTGGATATGGATCCGTACTACGTGCTGATTCTCGGCACTCCACTTGTTGTTCAGCTGAAGATCAATCTGACACTGACCATAGCCATAGCCCTTGAGCGAACGCTGGTAGGCTAGCACGTGTGTCGAATGCGTGATATGCGTCACCTACGAGGTTTTCTTTTCAGGCTCTCTTATTTCCTGTCACCTATCGCAAATTTCCGGCGTCCAAATATGCGATGTACTGCCTGTTAATCGGCTGCCTACTGGGAACTGTTGACCTCGTTGTGCATTTCGTTCTCACTCCGTTTCATAGATCACCTCAATGTGGAGCTTTCGGATGCTTCATTAGCAAAGAGTTTCGGTACTACATGGGAAATAGCAATATGGTAAGCCTGATTTTGGGTAAGAGACCTCGAACTCGATCCATTCTCCGCTTCTTTTCTAGGTGATGGGCTTTGTGGTGATCATACTGGTAACCTTCCTTATTGTCAAGCTTCATTTGATGCAAAGACGTTCAGAAATGAGGCGAATCAGTCAACCATCTGTCAAGGAGTCAAGCATGTTCACACAGGTGATCAAAAGAATTACATGGGGTCTAATGGGTTAAGGTCAGGGTCAGCTGCCCCACCCCTTACTCCTCAGCACTTTTGGAGTTTTGTGTGAATCCACCATAAGTGGCTGTTTGATGGGTCTCTCGACACTGTCAACGATCGGAGGATGTGGGGAAAGGATGGAGGGTTGTAGGAGAGCCCCGCGAGAGTAGCCTATTTCAAAATTGGTCGCAACGTGACTGGTGCCTAGAGAGGGTGGGCGCAGACAGTGACAGGTAGGGTGAGCCATAGTCAAGGATTCCTTGACAGGGGATAGGGGTGCCATCAGCTCCGATGATAGGAGAGAGTCGCATCCGGGATTTGTGAAGATCGTGAGCTGGCGTGGATAGCGCGAATAGACCGAAGTGAGGGGGAGGAAACGCAGGGGCCGTTGAAAAAGCTGTAAGTGCCGTCACAAGGGTCCCGCGTCCTCTTACCCGACTTGCCCATAGACGCAGTGTAGAAGTTTCGAGACGAAAGGACGGGGCTAGAGAATGGGGGGGGGCGTCACGTAGTAGCGGACGAATCAACGAGGCTACTGGCACCCAAAGTCGACCGTTCGTTCGCACTGTTCGAATTGGGGTCGCATTTGTGATTTAGGATAGGGTGGACACATTTGGAGGTGCAAGGTTATCATAGTGGGAACGGAGGTTGACGAAGGTTGTTAAAGGGGGATGTATTTGACGGGTTTTTTGACGAATTTTGTGAAAGTTCTACAGAAATAGTGAGAATCGGGCCCACCCGACGGCCTTTTTGGAAGAAATGTAGGCGGAGCTGGGCTGTGTCCACTGGTCCCAGAATGAAATAGTAAAGAAACAGCCATGATGGTGGGGTGGTGGTCAGGAAAGCGCGAAGGACGATCGCATCCGGTGAGCCTTATAAGAATGGTTGTGGTGGTGAGGGGGTGGCATTGAGATGACCTGAAGGAGGGGGTCGCAATTTTTTTTAAAAAGTGCGAACGTGACGGTGACCCTGCTGGCGCCCTTGACAATGGCGACGGGGTACATAGAGGGTGTTGGGGAAACCAGAAGACATGCTCACTAGATTTTTTCTAACAAATTCTCGACAACGGGCGGATTCGCTATTATGTGGTCGGGGACCCAAACTTGAAAAACGCTTTTCACAGGACTATGAATTCCTTCAGATCAGCTGATATCGGATTGGACCGTGTAATATAAGTGCGCTGAATTGTGGAATGGTTTGTCCCTGAAGTCATTGTGTTCAGGCTCACAAATGACTGCATGTCGTTAACGTGGCGCGCGCAAAATGAAGTTGTTCAAGCGCTTTTAATGGCTCACTTCTTATCGATTGCATTTTCAGGCCAATCGCACTTCTGCCGGAATTCTCCTGACTTCGCTGATGTTCGTTACAATTCCAAGTGTTGGTGTCGGTTTCGTGGAAATGCTCGGTTACTCCATATTCCGGGCCGTTGGCCCATTCTACTCTGTTGGTCTGCTTTGTGCAGGTGCACGGGACTAATGCTGAATTTTGAGTAGTTTAGCAGGTCATAAACTCCAACTTGGGTCAGGCGTGACCCCGGGACATTCGGAAGTTTCCCTAGCCTTCCTCCTTATGAAGTCTCAAAGCAGTCCTC